CCAGCCCCCAGCACCCCCTGAGCAGCCCCCAGCACCCCCAGAAGCGCCTCCGCAGCCCCCACAGCCCCCAGCAGCCCCCCAGCAGCCCCTCAGCAGCTCTCTGTCACATCCTCTGCCCCTTTGCAGTTGACAGAATGTTCCTTCCTTTCACGTTGTTGTTTTTGTAGGTGTGTATACGCAGGGATGTATGCACGCTCATGTGTGCAGGTGCACATGGATCCGTGTGCAGAGGAGGCCAATCTTGGTTGTTCCTCAGCAGCCGTCCACTATCCTCAACCCCCACCCCTGAGACAGGGCTTCGCTCTGTAGACCAGGCTGACCTTGAACTCAGAGATCCACCTACCTCCTGTGTGCTGGGATTAAAGATGTGCGCCACCAAGGCAGCCCTATCCACCTTTTAAAAAAGTTTAATTACATTTGTTTTTGTTTTTTCGAGACAGGGTTTCTCTGTGTAGCCCTGGAACTCACTCTGTAGCCCTGGCTGGCCTCAAACTCAGAGATCCACCTGTCTCTGACTCAGATGTTGGGATTAAAGGCTGCGCCACCACCACCTGGCTAAAACAGCTTAATTACACTTTTATTTGTTGTGTGCATGAGTGCCACAGGGCACGTGTAGAGGTCAGAGGACAATTATGGGAATCAGGTCTCTTCTTCTGCTATGTGAACAGAATTCGGGTTTTCAGGCTTGGTGGTCAACAACACACTTTCCTCTGCCCAGCTGCCCAGCCCATCACGTTGTTTTTTTTTTGTTGTTGTTGTTTTGTTTTGTTTTGTTTTGAGCTAGGGTCTCTCACTGGGACCTGGAGCTTCTTTTTTTGACTATGTTAGGTTGGCTGGCCAGTGAGCTCCTGGGATCCTCCACCTCCCCAGGACAGGGCCTACAAGCATGCACCACCAGCCTGACTTTTTAATGTGGGTGCTGACGATCAAACTCAGGGCTTCTTGTTTGCAAGGCAAGCGCTTTATGGACTGAACTCTCCCCACCTCTGTTCCCCTCCCTACTTGAATACAGTTACTGCACTTAAGTGGAAATGCACGAGCTAGGGGAGCTTAATCTCCACCTCCTTACCTTTGAGCTGCATGGCTACACTAGGCAAGGAGGGCCACACCTACGCTCTCGAGATGCTGCAGTGTAGGGGCTGAAGGCTGTGACCTCTTTCCTCAAGGGCCACAGCACCTGCTGGCACAAGCACACGCGGATGAGAGATAAGCACAGCAGGTGTCTTCAGACATGAAAACCCAAAGCCCTAACTGGGTGACAGCACGCAGGGAACAGCTGTGTAGAAGTGGCTGGACAGAGGTTGTCCCTAACACATAGAGGCAGGGAACTCAGCCACGCCCACCCACTGTCAGGACCCTTCTAAGCAACCTGCCTTCCTCTCAAAACCTCTGCAGAGGGGCTGATGTCAGACATGGCCCAAAGGCTTCATTATGGGCCGTTTTTATACAGAAAGCTGGAGGGCAGAGAACTTTGTTAAGCTTTATGGTTGGTCTTTTGAAGAGGGGTCTCGGTGACCCCAATAGGCAAGAGTCCTAGTGTGTGAGTGGCTGTGGGCGGGGCGGAGGGGCTGAAACCGGAGGATGGGAGAACAGCAGAGACCTACCTCTGAGTCCCTTCAGGAAAAGCACTCAGCCGGCCACTGGGCCCTTTCTGGAGAGCTCTGGAGTCCCCAGCAGGATTACAGTGGCTGGAAAGGGTGAGCTAACCCAGGCTGGCCCTGCACTGGGCAGCGGCCCCCCATTCTAGCTTCACAGACACCCCAGGGTCACCATCACAGCACAAATCAATCCCCCAGCCTTCCCAGTCTTCCCTGTGTACGCCCTCAAATCTGAGCTTCTCTGCTCCAAGATGCTCAGTTCACACCAGCTCACACCAGCTCACACCAGCTCGGTTCCTGGCTTCTCAGCCTCAGCCCAAGCTCTTTGGTCAGCCCCTACCATAGCATGTGCCTGTCTTTTCACTGACCCTGCCCTCTGGGGAGCCTTCTGCCTGGATCCCATGGGCCCGGCTGTGAAGGCTGCTCTTCCTGCCTCAGATGCTGGGGTGTGGGTATGTCCCCAGAAGCAGGGTTTAAATTCTCTGGCTACATGATACTCAGCTGAACTGTGTCAAACAGAAGCCCAGTCTCCTGTTCCAGTTTAGCTGAAACCCACCCCCACCTCAGTCCTGAGCATGATATTCCATCTCTAACTTCTTTCCTAACCTCTTTTCTCAAATTGAGCCCCAAAGTACCCCACCCCAGAGATCAAACTCCTGGGCCCAGGCTGATTGGGGGGGGGGGCACATTTCCACATTCTGTTCCACGGTAGGCACTGAGTCAACTCTTGGGGATCCCTGAGCTCCCTCCCCACCCCCATCATGGTGGACAGGATGCCTGCTGCCTGGTACCAGGGGGTCAGAGGAAGCCGGGGCCTCTGGGACTCAGTATTTTTATCAGCTAGGAAATGAGAGCTGCAGAAGCGGAAACCATGTGGTCAGAGAAAGTGAACAGCCTTCATCTCAGGGGAACCCCCACCAGGGCTGGGGGCCAGACATGGGGGGGCAGGGGGCCAGGGAGGGAGGTCTGCCTGCCAGACATGGGGGGGTCTGCCAGCCAGGGGTGGTGCAAGGGGAAGGGGGGAACAGAGGGGGAGATCTGCCGGCCAGGGGAGGGGTAGCAGTGTACTTTGGTTTTATGTAGTTCCTGTAGAGGAGGAAACCAAACGCTTTCAGTCCACAAGCCAGCACCGCCGGCCAGTGGTCCTCTCAACCCCAGCTCAAGGGTCCTGACTCCAAAGCGGGTTCTTTGCATGCCACTTCCGAAATCCCCAGCCTGTGAGAGGAACCGGATGCCGGGCCTGCTCGCAGTTCCAGGACTCTTCTCCGAATCACAGCAGCTTCCTCTCACAGAGCTCTTCCTCCCACTGCTCAACTTCTGCCTGGCCTTGGGACCAGGGGCTCCGGCTTCTCCCTAACCTCCCCGATGTTTCCCCGGATCTGAGGGCAACCGTATGTTCCCAGCAGTTTCTTCCCGTGTGATGCCAGGACCCCGGCCCTCAAATAGGCCTGGGCTGCAGCCTTGACGATGCCCTTTCGGATCAAACACAACTACACACAGTACACACCTGCATAACATTCTGTCTCGGCTCTACTTTAAACCTGAGTTCCCAGCTGTGTTTAGGTGTTGGCAGTGGAATATGCCTAGTGTTTCCATTTTCAGAGAGATGCTGAATTTGAGCGGTGGTATGGATGGATTCCCTGCCTGTCTTTCACGTCTCAGAATTTGAGTGGTGGTACGGATGGATTCCCCTGCCCGCCTTCCAAGTCTCAGAATTTGAGCGGTGGTACGGATGGATTTCCCTGCCCGTTTCCATGTCTCTCTCCAATCCCTAGGACCTCAACCCTGGGTTCTTGGGAAGGAGATGCTTATGTGGAAGGCCAAGTCTGGGTTGTCCAGAGTTGAAGCCCAGGTTTACGGTTGGGAAGTCGAGCAGTAGATACCAGGATTGGAGACCCGGAGAGATGAGCCAGAGAAGGAGCTGCCCAGGAGCCCGGGTGTGGATCTCTAGTTGCCCAAGAACAGACAACCCAGGTTACATAATCTGGCTCTTTCCGGCCTCCTTCCCGCTTCTAATTTTAGCAGCTGAAGTTCCCTCCCCCACAGGCTCTTTCTCCATCCCCTCTTTCTAGTCTCTGTCCTCCTAGGTCCTTATGATCCCCAGCCCTGGCTGCCCCCAACTCAGCTCTCCAGTGACTCAGCACAGGGAAAGCCCTGTGTTGGGGTAGGGGTGCAGTGGGGAGGAGGATGTGGTTCTGGTTGGGGAGCAGGGGGGAGGAAAATGGTTTGTTCCCTTTTTTGACATCTTTCTTCAGCAGCAGACAGCAAAGTGGTCAGGACCCCAGGGGAGGGAGCAGAAGGGATCTGAAGGACACACTGGGCCTTCTAAGGGCTGACCTCAAGGGAGGGAGCGGGGGCTTCTGGCCTCCATGGAGAGAGCTCCCGCTGTCTGACTATGTGCTGCAGGTGTGTGGGAGCTGCGGGTTTCGACAGCTGGGCGGGAGAGATGTCATGGTGATGAGAACCACAGCAATGGAAAAAGCAGAGCAGACTCTGGAGTGAGACGGGGAACCAGGTCTTATTAGGAAGCGGCAGTCAAGAGCAGTGGTAGAGCCTCCCCCGCCCCACCCCCGCACCCATTACGTGAGCCTGCCCCATATCCTCTCTGTGCAGGGCCTGCCTCCGTCCATCCCCATCCATGACCTTACGCCTCTTCCTGCCTATCCTTGAGGCTACACCCGCACAGGTTCTTGCCCATTCCCCCGGGTCACTTGAGGCTGCACCCGCACAGGTTCTTGCCCATCCCCTGGGTCACTTGAGGGCTTCTGCATGGCGGTTCAGGGCCTGAGAAAGGGCTGTCACCGCTCCCATCACACGGCCCAGTTCCCAGGTCTCAATCTGGCTTCGGAATCGTTGGAGGAAGCGGTCAGGGTGCCATCGGACCTGCTGGACTCTCAAGTACCTCCTCAGAGCCCCCTGTTCCTCCAGAGGGGGGCCCCTGGCCACCAACGCTGCAGCCATGGCCTCTGGGTCCCCTCCACCAGGGCAGGGCCAGGGCACATCACCAAAGCGCCAGAGGCTGCCCCTCCCTGCCCCTTGTGAGTGCTCTGCCCTGGGCCCAGGCCGGAGAGGCTCTGTCCCTCTGCCCCCTTGAGCTTCTTGAGTCCGTCTGGCTCGGCTCTCTCGCAGTTCCTCCTCTTTGGCCCGGGCTCGCTCTCGGAAAAGCCGCCGTTCCTCCTCTTGCTGACGCCAGCTGTGGCTGGAGCCCTCAGCCCTTTGGGGTCTGAAGGATCTCTCTGCCTCTAGCTGCTGCCGTCGTTTCTGGGCATGCTCTCGAGCCAGGCGATCTGACCAGGCTGAGAAGGACTCGGGCTCCTGTACCTCGTGAGAAGCATCATCTGTTTGGAAGGAGGGAAGCGGGTGTTGGAGAGAGCTGTGATTAGAAAGGCAGTGAGATAAAGAGCATACACCCGAGGGCCTGGAGGAGGCCGCTCTGGCGGCAGCGGCCCCTCACCTTCAAACCTCCCGATGGCTTCTTGCCACTCATCTTCCAGCTCGCCCTGCAGCTTCTGCCGCCATTCCCGCTCCGTGGAAACCTCCTCGTCCTCTTCCTCTTCGGCAGAATCCCAGGGGGGGCCCCAGCCCAGAATCTGCCCAGGAGTCTCCCCTTCCTTATTCTTTATCCCCATGGCGGAGGGGCAGCGACTCAGCAGAGGCAGGAAGAAGTCCGTGTAAGCTGGGGGCAGAGACGGGGAGATCACCTGGGGCTCCAGCCCTGGCAGGGCCACTATCGTGGAGTCTCTAACTCCTGGGTATGAGGACAGCCGCCCTGACATTCAGATACAATGACACGCGTGGTGAGTGTGGAAGCTTAGAGCTCTCTGACCGCCCGCTCCCCACAGCCTCAGTCTCTCCGTGTGCTGTGGCTAAGGGCAGTTCTGGGCTCAGCTCCTGCCACCTAGGACAACTTCAAATTCTTTTGACTATTTTTTTATTTTTGGTTTGAAACTATTATCACTACATACATATTTTTAATATTATATAGTTCTCACCCAAAACTACATATTAAGATTTCTGCCAGGCGGTGGTGGCACACATCTTAAATCCCAGCATGCAGGAGGCAAAGGCAGGTGAGTCTTGAGTTTGAGGCCAACCTGGTCTACAGGGTGAATTCCAGGACAGTCAGAGTTACATGATTGACCCTGCCTCAAAAAATAAATAAGAATAGGAATAGAGATTATCAGATGCCATGTCTGTATCACTACAAGCAGAGAAACACATATTTCTACCCAATAAGCCGAGTGAAGTAAATGTTTCTGCAGAATTTCTCAGCCTTACCCAAGGGAGGGCAACAATGAGGTGGGCAGCTTTCCTGCCCCGTGGGCCCATCTTGTCTCCCTGAGTCGGCGATGGGAGGTCAGCCTGGCTGGTTCCAGGAAATACTGTTCACCTACCAGGACAATGGCACAGAAGCAGGGCTGACCTGTCATTGCCAGGAAGATGGCAGGGCCTACCCATGGCTACCAAGGTACCAATCTCTCCCAGAAACCACATCAGGGTGAGGCAGGTTTCCTTAGTGCTGCTGTGTATTTACATGTGTGTGAGTGAACAGTATGTGTGCTTATGTGTGTATATGTATGACTGTGTCCAGGCTTGCATAGGTTTAACTCAGGATTTTTGTTATTTACCAACACAGCCCACTTAAAATTCTAACTGTTGAAAGTCTGCTGCAAACCCCAGTCTTGCCTCGGTCCATGTAAATACACACATGGTCTGTGACCACACGCTATGCACATTTGCTCAGAGGCATGCGACCAGCCTGGCAACTTGCTTTTTTAAAATTTTTCTTTTTTTCTGAAATACCCAACTTATTTTATTGGCTATGGTGTGTGTGTGTGTGTGTGTGTGTGTGTGTGTGTGTGTGTTTGAGAGGGTCTCATGTGGCTCTCAGAGTCCTAGAAGTCACTCTGTAACTGTAGCCTAGGCTGACCTCAAACCTCTGACTCGTGAGTCTGAGGTTTGTATGGATCAATACATCCCACTTCAGTTAACAGAATATTTAGGGCACCCACATCACAAATGGTTAAATACGCCCCAAAGACTGACCGTAGTCAACACTAACTTAGATGGAGTTGGTGGTCTGGTGTTTGACACAGGGCCTCACTGTAGCCTTGGCAGGGCTGAAGCTCACACCCTTCCTCCTCACAGGTTTTCACTTAGCATCCGGTATTTTCCTGGGAACCTACTGTCAGTTTTACTTTCTGGTAACGGTAAGGAGTGCTCCACTGTGAGCCTGAGACAGGACTCTCTCCACCCCTGGTTGCTAGACTGTGTCTTCAAAAGCTTTCAGTCAAACCTGCATATGTGTGGACTTGGTGAAGGCTCTGCTCAGGGTAGGTGTTCCGAGTCAAAGCATGACAAGCCTGTGAGTTGTTCCCAATATCTGTGTCACGAACACACAGTGTACCACCTTCCTTACTGTACATGCATACCGACCTTTTCATGTTGCTAATGGGACAGATCAAGAAATGGTTTTAAGGGGCTGGAGAGATGGCTCAGTGGTTAAGAGCACTGACTGCTCTTCCCGAGGACCCAGGTTCAATTCCTAGCACCCACATGGCAGTTCACAACTGTCTGAAAATCCAGTTCCAGGGGATCTGACACTTCCACACCAATGCACATAAAATAGTTAAATAAACCATAAAAAGAAAGAAAGAAATGGTTTTAATAAAAGGCCGGGCGGTGTTGGCGCACACCTTTAATCCGAGCAATTGGGAGGCAGAGGCAGGGAGTTTTCTGTAAGTCTGAGGCCAGTCTGATCCACAGAGTGAGTTCCAGAATAACCAGAGCTATGCGGAGATCCTATCTCAAATATTATATATATATATATATATAAAAATTTTTTCTGGCTACTATCATTTTCTTCTTTGGAAATTTTTCCATACTCATACAGATATGAAAGTCCTTTGTTTTCTGTGTGTATAGTCTTGGCTGTCCTAGAATTCTGTAGACCAGGATGGCCTCAAACTCAAGAGATCCATCTGCCTCTGAGTTCCAAGGCTGTGATTAAAGGCGTGGCTTATGAAAATCTTCCTCGTAGGACTGTTAAAACACAGTCTGTTTTCCCCATCTATCCTTTAAAAGTTTTTAATTCTCTACCAAAATTTTCTTCCTGACTTCCTTTCAGCTTTGGGAAGAATGGTGCCCGCAGAGGTCAGAAGAGGAAGTCAGATCCCTGAGCTGGAGCTACAGGCAGCTGTGAGCACCCAGCACATGGACCTGGGTCCTCTGAAGGAGCGGCCTCTCCAGACCCTACACCAGCGTTCCCAATGTTCATTAGCATAGCCTTTTCCCCCTTCCTTCCTTCCCTCCCTCCCTTTTTCTTTTTTAAGATAGGGTCTCACCATGTAGCTCAGGCTAACCTAGAGTTCACAGATCCACCTGCCTCTGCTTTCCCATGGCCGGGATTAAAGGTGTGTGGGATCATGTCTGGCCGACACACACTTCCATATGGGAAGAAGTGTATGTGGAAAGGGTCCGTGAAGAGACACATTCCCTTAACAACCGAAGCAGGTCCTCTCCTCACCTCTGACAGCAGCACCTGGTGCTGCAGAGATGCAGCTCAGTGGGAGACATGCCAACTTGCTTGCCTTGGCCATGCCAATGCCCTGGCTGGGACCTCACACCACACACAAGAACAACACTCCTGTGGACCGGACTTTCTGAACAAAGAGACCCAAGGGTAACCAATGCTTCACATTCTTGGGACAGGAGCCCCCCTTTCTGCCAGCATGTCTCTCTTTGAGGTCAGCCTGGTCTGATCAACTGGGTTTCACCCTGTGAGTCAGGAGGTCTCTGTTCTCAGAGGACGCCCTGGTTTAGAGCAAATCTCAGTCAAATCAGGACTGAAAATGGGGGGGGGGGGGTTGGGACTGCTGCCCTCTGAAGATGCCTCTGGGGCAAGCTTTCATCTCTGGTAGAATACAAGGTGGGTTTTATGACCCCTCACTCACTCTGGGATATATTCTCAGAACTGGTCTAAATTCTGTCTTTAACCTCTCAAAAAACAAAGCAAACAAAACCGTACTTTCCTTTGTAATAAAACCTGGCCCTTGTTTCCACCCCCAGATGAGGAACACTGGCCACAGTCAGCACACTGAGCTATAACCCTGCCCTACAACTGGATCTTTTTGTCATAATTTTGGCCCAGATTCCTCCCATTCAGTACTTCCTGACCCTGCGTGGCCCAACAGGTGCCTCCCGCACTGGCCTCCCTGGAACTCAGCCTTAGATGACATCTTTGACGGCCTTGCATGTCCCCCTCAGCCCCCAGCTTCTCTGCCACCAGCATTTTCCCCTGGCACCTCCCCCCACCTTCCCCTGCGACATCTGTCTCCCCCCTCCAACTGCACCTCCTTCTCACCCACACACATTCTATCTCTTACACATTCATACAAGGACTTCACCCCCAACATCTGTGCCCTCGACAAGGCAGCTAAGAGAGACCTCATCCCCTTCTCCGGAAGGCTGGGTCCCAACTGCTCTAGGTCCAGCCCGACATCACTGGACAGCCTCTCCTTCCCTCCAGTTCCCGCCCCAATACTCCAAGAAAACCAGCCGTTTACTATTCCCTTCAGGATTTTTGTTTGTTTGTTTGTTTGTTTGTTTGTTTGTTTTTCGAGTCAGGGTTTCTCTGTAGCTTTGGAGCCTGTCCTGGCACTAGCTCTATGTAGACCAGGCTGGCCTCGAACTCAGAGATCCACCTGCCTCTGCCTCCCAAGTGCTGGGATTAAAGGTGTGCGCCACCACTGCCCAGCTCCATTGGGTTTTTAGGATCCAAAACTTCAAACTGCACGGTGAACACACACATTCTTGGCTGCCTAGACTAGGACAATCCCCTGCCAAGGTCAGTGGTCTCCTCGCCTGGCCTGCGTTGGCAGGAACGGGACACTCTGTAATGCTTTCACCCAATCCAAGCAGTAGTGGGGAGGGACTGAGAGGACAGGAGGGGGGGAACTGGAGTTGGGATGCAAAAACAAACAAACAGAACCATTGATCAGGAAAAAGTTAACAACTAGAAAACCTACATATGTTTCAAAGGACCTGAAAATCGAATAATCCCAGTCCCAAGAGCCGCCCCATGACCGTCACTGTCAGCGGTACCCGACCCATGACCACCACTGTCAGCGGCACTGTGAGACTTTCTGGCAATCTTAAAGATGTACTTCTTCTCTGTAGAGATCAAATCCTGGCACCAGTGCTTGGGTCAAGTCTGCTCACTCACTGTCCCATCAGTGGCCCACAGCACTTAGACACTCCGTTTCTTTCTCACTCACAGCAGACGGCTGGTAACAGGATCTGTGTCCTGGCTTTCCGTTGGGAAAATGTTTAGCAGGGTTATAATAATACGCACATAGTCAGCCTGAGGCACCTGACTGACTCCAGTTGCTCCTGATACTGTACAGTAACCTACAGGAGATGAGCAATGGACTAACGACAGGAATTTTTGTTTAAAAAAACAAATCCAAGCAGCAATAAAGACCGTGCCAGACATCCTCCAGTCTGATATTGTGTCTGCAGGACATTTAGGCTGCTTCCTCACGCCATGGAGGCAACTGAAGATCCAAGTCTCTGGTAAAGAAGCAAGCACAGTGAGCGGGAGCAGGCACAGGCGGGGGCAGGGGGCGTGCAGGGGCTCAGGCGAGGAGGGCGAAAGGAGAGGGTATTTTTAGTTAA